ATGTTGTCACCCTGCTTATTTAACTTATATACAAAGTACATCATGCAAAATGACAGGATGGATGAATCACCGTTAAGATTTCCAGGAGAAATATCAACAACCTTAGATATGCTGACAATATCACTCTAATGGCAGAATGTGAAGAGTTACTAAAGAATCTCTTGATGGGGGTGAAACAGGAGAGTGCAAAGGTTGGCTTGAAACTCAATATTTAAACAACTAAGATCATAGTATCTGGTCCTATCACCTCCTGGCAAATAAAATGGGAAGAAATGAAAGCAGAGACAGGTTTTATTTTCTTGGACTCCAAGATCACTGCAGACGTTGACTGCAGCCATGAAATTAAAAGACACTTCCTTCATGGGAGGAAAGCTATGGCAAATCTAAGCAGCATATTGAAAGCAGAGACAGGTTTTATTTTCTTGGACTCCAAGATCACTGCAGACGTTGACTGCAGCCATGAAATTAAAAGACACTTCCTTCATGGGAGGAAAGCTATGGCAAATCTAAGCAGCATATTAAAAGCAGAGACATCACATTGCTGACAAAGGTTCAGATAGTCAAAGCTATATTTCCCCAGTAGTGATGTATGGTTTTGAAAGTTGGACCATAAGGAAGGCTAAAGCGCTGAAGAATTGATGCTTTTGAATTGTGGTGCTGGAGAAGACTCTTGAGAGTCCCTTCGACTGCAAGGAGATCAAATCAGTCAATCCTAAAGGAAATCAACCCCGAATGTTCTTTGGAAGGACAGAAGGACAGCTGAAGCTCAAATACTTTAACCATCTAATGAGAAAAGAGGAGTTTTTGGAGAAGACCCTGATGTTGGGAAAGATCAAAGGCAAAAGGTGAAGGGGACAGTAGAGGATGAGATGTCACTGATCTGATAGTGTCACTGATGCAATAAACATGAATTTGGGCAAACTGCAGCAGACAAGACAGGGGAGCCTGGAGTGCTACGGTCCATGGGATAGTAAAGAATCGGACATGACCTAGCGACTGCACAATAAGATACGTACTAGCATAGGTAGAGTAGATTTTGGTCAGGATTACTGAAAATAAATAGCTTTTGACCTGTTCACATTCAATTATTTCAAGCAGAATCACTACAAAATAAGAGATTATTTGTAGCATATTCCCATTTTCAAGACCATGAAATCTTCTTAGCCCCTGTTTTCAGGGAGGGAACACCATCCTTCCTTAATATAAGAAATTTTCTGTGCTTCTTCCAGCTCAAAAAGCCTCTATAAACAAAACTGTACCAGTGATACGTTTTTAAAAGTATTTTCTCCACTTACTCCTGTAAAAACAGTCTATTTCTCTCCACCCTGCAAGACCATCTTATTTGTTCATATACCTGCATGGTTCAAACCCACTGCGCAGCAATCATGTAGTTTCTGGACCCCAAAAGTTGCTCATACTTTCCTCCTATCTGGACTTAGAATACTTACAACAAAGAAATCATTAAGTCTGTATGGTTTTCCTTTCCTCTGTCCGCGCTGATGCATATAAATACCCTTCAGAATGAATGGTAGAGCATTTGTTCTACATGAAATTAAAACAAAAAAACTCTTGAAGTGATTTTACTAAGTATTAATGGCTAAATAAAATTCTGAGGAGACTTTATATTTATATATATAAGTATACCTATTTTTACCAAACTTTCGATATTCATAAATAGTTAAAGATTTGTCACAAGTAAAGTAAAATCCAATCAGTTCCCGACAAGCATCACGTCCATTTCTATAATGGAAAAAAAAAGGATTAGACTTCTTAAAAATAAAGCAGAATGATTCCTTAACTGCCAAGCAGACAGAAAAAAAATATTACATTTTAAGCAACCCTCATGTTGCTACAGTTTATGTAATATAAATTTAACCAATGTGTTCTTCTGCTGAGAGTTCTCCACTAATCCTGATCAGAATATGAGACTTGGGGAATGCATGTTATTTCCAAATAGGCCCACTATCTATAAGTGCTCTACTTCCAGTGCCTCAAAGCTCCACCCGACTAACAGATCTAAGGACCAAACATTACATATTTTAGTATTTAGTATTTAAGGTAAAATAATAACACCAATAATTGCTGCAATAGATTATACTGCTGGACCATGACATAAGGAGGAAAGATAAACAGAGTAAATTCTTGAATTCACAAGATCCACAACAATCAATTAAAGGACACCAATACAATTTACTAGTTTATCCCTCCTACACAGACAGGGAAGTCAACATTTTATCATCAATCTAGCTAGTACTTGATTATGATTTCATGAAATATGCATAGAGCAAATCACCATGAGTATAAACAACACTGGATGAAAGTCTAATGTAAACTGTAATGTTGCTATTCTATTGCATTGGAAAGCAATTGAACTAAAATGTGGTTATGCAAGTAGCAACTTCTGAATAGAAAACAATATTTAAAAGTTTTGTACGCATACCTTAATATCAATCTACCATCAAACCGTAATTTATTAGAAAGCATATTTTCTGTCAGTGCTGACCTAGTCTTAATTCTGTAAGAAACATATATAATATAAGTTACTATGCAAGTAAAATAAGTCATTTTGCATGCCAACTGCTTGTAGAATTTACATGTTCATGAATAGAGTTCAATAGAGTTATCATGAAAAGATACAGCAAAGACAAAACAAATTCTGATTACTGCCACTACAAATAAGCTTAAAATAATATACAGGTTATATATTTCACTGGAACTATAAAATTATGTATATTTTCTCTGCTTATGAGTGGTATCTTCAAGAATCTGAAGACTTTTAAAGTCTTTCTAGCAGATATAATGCTTAATAAAATCTTACTGATGATTCAAACTATGTACTTCAGTACCATTAGCAGTAAAGTTGATTTTATTTATTTAATAAAATATCTGTGTATATGTAATTGCACATAATTCATATTTTCAATAAAATAAGTGATATTTTTACAAAATTAGTCACAGCAATTAATACATTCCTAGAACATTTTAGGAAAACTTAGTTCCTGGTTGCATGAACACACAGTTGAATGGACATTACACAAATATTATATATTAAAATTAAATTATTATTCTAAATGTGTTAAGAAGCAATCACCATTCAGTGTAGCCAGAAAATAAATTAGTGGAATATTACTTATTTATTTAAATTTATATCACTGCCCATCTCAAACTCATGACTATAGGAAACTAATTATTATTATTAAAACAGCAAAAATCCATAAAATCAGTGAAACAAAAATATACACGTAATCTATAGACAAAGTAAAAACAATGCACCAACAAAAATCAACATAACCATTATACGGACTGCACCATACATGTGTATCGCTAGACCCAGTGACAGTATATCTGAAACACTATCCCTGATTAGCTCATTTCTGGGGGGGGGGGAATCACATACCTTAAATAGAGATTCACAGAGAGCATATTAAATTCTAGATGGGAGACTACAATTTTATAAAAACAGATATAAGAACAATTGAACATAGCAAAGCAGTTTAAATTAATGGTCTATTTAATTCTGATACCCAGCTTCCAACCATGATTAATCTATTTCTAACCATGTCTAATCAAATACTAATCTGAAGCACTATGCTGGGCTTTTTCAGAACAATTGGTTTTTAAAAGCATGTTACTTTGATGTCACATGATTAATAACGATTTGACAGTCTTGTCATCTGTGAATTTCAGTTAAGTTGGAATATATCACATGTAGCAGCTAATTTCATAGGTGAACATCTGAAATATCCACGTTAAGTACAATATTTTAACTATGCAGATCCCCCTTCATTGAGTGTGAGTGGATGATCCCATATTCTAGCAGTAGATTGGGGAAAACCCACTACCTATTTAATTTCATTATAATGCTTCACTTTATAAATTTCTATCAGGTCTTCCTTATTTTCTATTTTTAATTTTTTAAAAATGAATTGTATCCTAGTTGATTAAAATTCTCCAAAGTAACAATAGTTATATTTCAAATTAATTGCATAAAGGCATGAGCTACAAATAATCATAGACCTTCTTGGCTCATGGGAGCAATAGTTGTTTAATTTATTTCATGTCTATAAAATGGGGAGTAATACGTTATAATTTAAAAATGCAGTGAAATACATGAAAGTTTTTTAAAAAGCTGAAAACCATTGTTGGATAAGCATTACTATTACAAAAACAGATTTTATTTAGGTGCACAATCTGAAATTAATGAAAATTCATATTGAAATGATTTTGGGGACATTATCCATAAAGCAATATAGTGTAAGATTTCTTACTTTGTTTCATGTAATGTTCTTTTTCTAAAGCGCAGAGGTGCTGTGCTTAATCCGGGAAGAACAGGATACATCTTATAAATATCTGAATTTCCATTTTGCTCTGGATCGCTTATCACAGCTCTAAAAAATAATAATATGGAACTGGTTTATCAAATTATAAATCTATTTAATGTTTTATTTCAAGTTTAATTATTAATATTTACATGTTAAATAAGTCTTGAACAATCAGAGAAATAGCAATAAAATTACCAATACTTTTCATGTAACATAAAAATGCTTAAATTATCTTATATACATTGCAACTTTTCTAAATTGTACTGATAGGAGTATAAATACACTATACATTAGACTCTTTGTTAGCAATACTCAAGTATTATGAATATTTCAAATTCATATAGATTGTTATCTGTCTCGTAAAACCTAACAGAGTTCATAAAAACATTCAAGTGACAGATACTACAAGGCATTTGCACAAATTTGCTTCTAATATAGTAAACACAGGTATCCAGAACACTATGTGATGCTAATGTATTGGGTTACTCATACATTATGATTGTTCAAAATATGAAGTCTAAATATTTTAATGCTAAAGCAGTCCCTTCACCTGTTCTCTTGACCTCAGCCATCTGGGTCTCACTTGAGCCAGCCTAGGGTAGATTCCTGGCAGATTCAGGGAGTAGTGAAAGCATGAGGAAGTGGTCGTCCCAACTGATCTTTCTATTCCTTATCGCTCTCTGGATGCAAGCATTTGACAACTACAAATAGCTTCTGGACAAGGGAGAATGGTAGGGCGTAGCTGTAGATCTGATCTCTCAATAGCTTATGATATTCTTCACAATGTTCTTATGGGCACTGAATTGAGCCACAGAGAAAGATACTGAGTGTTATATCTCTAAAGCTATGCTGGTTCTTCGCCCAAGATTGAGACAGAATGAGATTAGATTGCCAAAACTGGGTTTTTTTGGCTGCACCAGACAAGGATGGTTGAGGCACAATTTTATCATTTCTATTACTATGGTTTTTATTGTTATTGTGAGCCATTTAACAGTTGTGTTTTTAAGTCTTTTAAATAAATCAACAAAATAAATACCGTATTTATCGGCGTATAACACGCACCGGCGTATAACACGCAC